AATGGGCCTTTGTGAATTTTCAGCCTAAACCTTGAAGTTGTTAAAATTTCAGTTGTATGAGTGCCCCTGCCCCTCCAATCTACAAAGTGAACTCTGGGGTGAGCAGTTGAGTATTTCTTTTTTTTTTTTTTAAAGATTTATTTACTATATATACAGTGTTCCACCTGCATGTATGATTGCACACCAGAAGAGAGCACCAGATCTCATTACAGATGGTTGTGAGCCACTACGTGGTTGCTGGGATTGAACTCAGAACCTCTGGAAGAAAAGCCAGTGCTCTTAACCTCTGAGCCATCTCTCCAGCCCGAGTATTTCTTTTCTAACTTTTTATTATTTTATGTATTTTACCTGCCTTTGTGAGGGTGTCAGATCTTGGGAGTTAGACAGTTGTTAGCTGCTATGCGTGTCCTAGGAATCGAACTCAGACCCCATAGAAGAGCAGTTAGTATTTTTTTTTTTTTTTGGTTTTTCGAGACAGGGTTTCTCTGTGGCTTTGGAGGCTGTCCTGGAACTCGCTCTGTAGACCAGGCTGGCCTCGAACTCAGAGATCCGCCTGCCTCTGCCTCCCGAGTGCTGGGATTAAAGGCGTGCACCACCACCACCCGGCACAGCAACAAATCTTTATCTAAGAATGTATTAAGTAATTAAAATTAAGATTTTAAACCATCACCAAGACTGTAACTATTATTTATTTTTTTGATTTAAATTAGAAACAAACCTACTTCACATGTCAATCCCAGCTCCCTCTCCCTCCCTCCTCCATGGCCTCCAACAACCCACCCAACCCCTCACCCAATCCCCACTCCACTCTCCAAGGAGGGTGAGGCCCTTCATGGGGGATCTATTCCATAGTCTGTCTTGTCATCCGGGGCAGGGTCTAGGCCCTCCCCCATGTGTGCAGGCTGAGAGAGCATCCCTCCATGTGGAATGGGCTCCCAAAGTCCATTTGAATGCCAGGGATAAATACTGACCTATTGCCCGAGGCCTCAAATAATGACGAAGCCTCCTCACTGACACCCACGTTCAGGGGGTCTGGATCAGTCCTGTGCTGGTCTCTCAGCTATTAGTCTGGGGTCCATGAGCCCCTCTGTGGGGAGCCACCCCCACATTCTCCGTTACAAGATGGCGCTGACACCCGTTGTCAGTTGGAATAAACAACCTTGGTGCGCATGTGCCTGCTACTTTTCCATCCCTTACTCTCTGCCTCTCCCGTGGCGTCATATGGGCTGACGAGCAGGAGCCAGTCAGGAGATGACACGTCCGAGGCGGGGACTGCTGAGCTATATAAGGGTTGGGCTTTCCGCTCCCCGAGTCTCCACTCTGTAAGCTTATGCTCTCCCTCTCAAGACACATTAAAGCTGTTCTGCAGAAAGATCCTAAGTGTGCCGCGTCGTTCTTGCTGGCGAGACGGTAGCGCGGGACATCCCTCCTTGTTCAGGTCAATGCGGCTGAGGATTTTTAACAAACCCCTCAAGACTCAAGCTAATCCTTGTACCTGATACAAATGCGGAGCATGGAAGCCCAAGCTGTAAACCCTCTGTTCCCCCATTGCACCTGCTGCCTAGAGGCTGGGGAGCAGAAACGGGTCTGGGTTCCTAGCCTGACTTCCTTCCCCAGTACATTGCTCTACTGTCAGTTCATTATCCCTATCCTGCAGTACAAATCTTTCCATCACGCCTGATGAGCAGTCAAACGGTTCAAGTATTTTGTGTGGAAAAACTCAGCATGCGATAAGGACTCTTGATCTACTGCTCAACGCTAATTCTCCACATTTTCTTTTACTCAACCAAAATACTAGATGAGGAAAGTCTGGCACACAAGGTCTTCCTTAGACTGTTCCCTGCTGACCTCTCCAAGCCCCTCCTGCTGGAGTCTTGTACCCTAACTCACTTCCAGCCTGAAGACACTGTGAGGTAGGGCCTGGGGTCTGGAATAGGAGGAAGTCCAAAAGGAAGATGAAAGGATGTGTGAGCTGACTCAGGAAAGCTCACCTTGATAACACTGACAATGCAGTCATGCTGCTTTGCCAACCAGAGGTCTGTTTGGAATGGAATTTCCCCCATGAGAAAGGCAGGAATAAAGAGCAACTCTATCTGAAGCCACCATTCCATTTCAATTCAGGATAACCATCCATCCCTCCATCACCTGCTCCACCTTAGTCCCATCTTTCATGGCCTCCAATGAGACTGCCTTTATGCATTTGAACTAGATCTTGCCACTTGTCCTGGTGTTACCTCCCCTAGACTTCCAGGACCCAGCTTTTTACACCAATTTTGGCTGTGGACAATCATCATGTCCCAAACATGCACTGCTAGTCACTCTAGGAACCAGATCCTAAGTTTACTCTCCTGTTGGCTTATCTTTACATCTCAGGTGCCAGACCAGGCAGGAAGTGGTGGTGCACACAGTAACTTGATAAATGAGAAATGTGGTTAGCTACCTATGTTCAATATACCTGTGGCAAATGACACCTCACTGACTAAAACATGCACAAAAGAAAGCAGTTTTATGACTGGATACAGAGATGTCTTAGGGTCACACAACTGCATGCTAACCCCATCCTCACTGGCACTTGGTAGCCAAGAACTATCTATTACCTACACCCTCTCCAACCTGAAGAGACACCTTCCTATGAAGGTTAACTGCAGACCACTGTCCACATAATGGACAGTTTATAACTCTGCCTGCTTCCATGAGAGTATGGTATAAGATGTCTCTCTGGGGCAAATCAAAATAAACTTGCCAGCTGGAGAGGAGTGGCACACACCTTAAATGCCAGCACTCAGGAGGCAGAGGCAGACCAATTTGAGTCAAGGCCAGCCTGGTCTATAGCAAAGCAAAAGACTTGCCAAGGATGCCGGGCGTTGGTGGCACACGCCTTTAATCCCAGCACTCAGGAGGCAGAGGCAGGCGGATCTCTGAGTTCCAGGACAGCCTCCAAAAATACAGAGAAACCATGTCTGGAAAAACAGAAACAAAAACTTGCCAAGGAAAGGGAAGCAACAAAGGATATCTGAAAGCTGCCTGGTTACTTAGCCACACCCCAGCTACAACACAGGGGGCTGGAGCAAACCAAAAGCAGCACCCGGAACACAATGGAAACTCGGCACTTGCAGGACCATCTCTCCTCCCTCGATGGTTCCCCAGTGGAGGGAAGCTCAGCATATTATCCATCCGTCAAGTAGACACAAGGTCTGGAGTTTTGTACCCTCACTAGTATCCAGTTGGTACCAGGCTGGAAGGGCTGTACTCTCTTGATTTCCTCAGTAAAATCAATTTTGCATTCCTATAAAGGTTTGCTCAAAACCTGTAGAGAGCAGTATCAGCCAATATCAGGGTGTGCTACAGCTTCATTCCCAACTTCAATAACACAACTGCACACAGCCTAGTTTCCCCAAATCCTCACTTCCTATCATTTGCTTAGGTCCTTCAGTCTCCACTATCCTGTCATCCTGAGTCTCAAAATAGCTCATGATTCAGAATGGCAGAACAGATACCCTTCAAAGGCCCCATCTGACATTAACCCAAACATGCAGACTAAAGTAACAAAGGGACAAACCAGTGAGAGTGATGACTGGCTGGAGCACACAGGCTGTTTGTAGGGAAATGGCCATACAGCTGTCAGCCATCACTATCTGGGGGGAGAAAGCCCACCTTGTGGAGCCCTGGCAGCATAGCTGCACAGCTGATCCCGCCCACTCACAAAACCAGTGTTTGTTCCACTGCTTTCTTCAACCTCACCCTTCCTTTAGCCATGGACCAACCTGCCTATCTTCCTCCTTTTGCAGTCTTGGTTACCCTGCAGACAACCATGTAACACTTTCATAAGGTCAACCCATGGTCTGTTTCTTAGGGGCCATCGGATCCAGCAAGGGAACAAGTTCCTTAATAATCCACAAAGCTGCATACACATGTCACATCTTTGCTCCCCAAGATGCTATCCCACTTTCACCTGTCCAACCTACCAGGCCTTTCATATCCTTTGCTTAAAGTCATTGGACCAGAGTTGTTCATGGCTTTCAGCTTTTAAGTTTGGAACCAGTTATGTAAGAGCAAACCACCTCTTCAGTCCTCTATCTCTAGTTTTAGATAGTATTCATTGCACTTACAAATCTCATTCCCACTTGGACTTATACCAACAGATGTGCTGGGCTTCACCAGAAACACTCAACCAGCACTAATTGGTAATGTGCAGTCATGGGTTCCACCACAAAAATAAGTAAAACCAATGCATCGCTCATAAGCTGTAATGCCTTTCAGGCAGACTCCTATCCAAATATCTGACTTCATTAACCCAGTTCATGGCCTGAGTTTCAGACAAAGAAAAAGTAGGGTCTGTTGCTTGACGGGTGGCTATGAGCCAGAGCCTGAACACTTGCTGGGTTCCACACCACTAGCCAGACAAATAAAAAGACAGATACAATTTCCATTTGAGCTAGACAAAAAGATCTGGTAAGTGTATCTTACTGGACTGTCATAAAGGGTTTCCCTAATGCGTCTTAAAATGTGACCAGCAGTGGTGATGCATAAAGGGAGGCAGAGGCAGGTGGATCCCAGTTCCAGACTGGCCTACAGACTAAGTCTCAAAACTCAGGAATTATAGGAATGAGCCATACCAGATTTAACTTCAAATGGGGAGGGAAGAGATGGGGATGCCCTTAACCCCAGTTCTCAGGAAAGCAGAGGCAGCAGCTCTGTTCAGTCTACATAGAGTTCCAGACCAGCCTGAGCTGGAAATCATCACCCCCCCCCAAAAGGGGGTGGGGAGAAATGGAGGAAGGCAAGGGAGACCACCTTTTAAGAAGAGTCTAGGGACACAGAAAAGGGGTTCCGCCAAGGCAAATTCTGACAGGGTACAGCACACTGGTCCTATGCTTTGCCCACGCAGAAGGATTTATACAGCATACTTTCAGTTGAAGCCCAGCACACTGAAGTGGGCTGCAAGAACACCTAAGCAGTCACTGGACACTTATAATACCCAATAAACAGTAGACTCCAGATACATAAATGTTTAGTTTATTTGTCCTCTCGGAAATCTGCACACCACAGCAGATCAAGTCACCGCAGCAGATCTACTCCTTTGGCTGTGAATAAAAAAAAAAAAGTCAGCAACAGTCTTTGAAGGACCTTTAAAGTTCAAAGACAAACTCAAAAAAAAAAAAAAAACTCATGCAAAACAAGTATTAACCTAAAACAGAAACTAAGAAAATGATGCAAACATCCAGAAACTAAACTGACATTCATGTTAGAAATGAAACAAGTCAATGTCTGAATTTTAGACAGTCACGTTAGTACTGTTACAAACGGTACACTTGCAAATCTACATACAAATGTTTACAAGCTTGCTCAAACTACATGAGTAATAAATAAGGAGTCTAGTGATCTATATAAGAGCTTGAATTATACCTGTATCCAATCTCCACTCACTGAATCAGTGGCAGGAAAGGGGGAATGGGAAGGAGGAAAACAAACAGTTCGTTAGTAGTCCCTTTTCAAACACCAAAAATTATCTGCCCTCAAAGTACATGCAATAAGGTACCTTGGGTGACTGTTCTGTGGTTGTACATGATCATTCCTTAAATACTACCCAATTCTGACAGCATTGTGCTCCAAGGTTAACAAGGTGATAGTAATTGCCTTAATGCCAGACATCCCCGAGGCTGGGCCTCGTGCTGGTTATCCTTGTGCCAAACAGAGGACCCAGACTTGGGACTCCAATGGGAAGGCTCTAATATGATTAGGCAAGTCTTTTGAAATCTGTTTCATTTTAATACTTTTAAGTACACCAATCTTGGATACCATGAGGTATTCGGATTAGTAGCAAAAAATTAAGTAAAAATACAAACATGTGATCGCTGCCTCAGTTTCATCTCCTCTGTAAATAACGGAACACCAGGTTGCAATTAATCAAGTACAACACAGTCCAGAGGCCATCACTATTTTAAGCTCATTTTGAAAAAGCTGGCTTTCCCAAGGTTGTGCTAGTGAAATCAATGAAACCCACACAGGTTATGACAGGCCAGCCCCTGAGTCAGCTGCCCAGGACACCTTCCAGAGGAACTGAGGCTGAGCCTGGGGGCTTGGCAAAGAATCTGTTACATGGTCTGCAGCAAAGAGCAAATCTGACTGCACTATCAAAACTTCTTCAATTAGCAGGTATAATTCGCAACACCTATGCAGTTCTATGGGCAGTGTTCCACAGTGCTGATGGAGAGAAGTTACTTGATTATGGTCTAAGGCAGGCAGCTTGAAAGAAAGGTAGGCATCAGAGGTAGTGGGACCATTTCTAAAATGCTAATGTAATTTCATTGCATGTTACAAATATAGAGCAGGGGCCATTCTGATTAAAATGCATGCGGTAAAAATACTCAAAGCTTCAGTGTTACTCAAAAGTTCCTATTAAGAACAGAAATGCTAAGACATTGAAGCAGATTCTGCTCCCAAGAGTCTGCTGCTCCTGCAGCACCCTGGAGGAGGGGTCACTGAAGCCATTTCCCTGGAACAGTCTCAAACAAGTTCAGGAAACCAGGGCACCTACCTTCCTTCAGTGAGCCACTATCTCCCATGTAACATGCATTTTCGAGTTTCCAAAATAAATGTTAAGTCTTTCCTTCTGATAGTAAGATACTACTTAAAAAACAGGTCACTGGCACTGTAATAAGCCATACTATGAAAACTGTTGTCCAAAAGCCAACATGCAAAGCATCAAAGCCAGCTCAGTGAAGGTGACACATCCCCACACCGTGCTCAATCTCAGTACCTGCTAGTTATTTCATTTCTGCTGAACAAGAAATCCAAGACAGTAGGAGAGGAGGGAAAATTCACAAAAGACTTGATTATTCAGCAACCCAACACCTTAATTCTATTCCGCTATTTACAACTAGCTAGCAAAGCTGGCACAAAGCTAGCACTCAAATCACTGTGATCTCAGGTAACTGGAGAGGAAATCAGTTTGACATTTGGAAAGCTTGGGCCACATTGATCCAGCTGCTTCAAAAACCACTGTCCAATACTAAAAAATTAAATCCTAGGAACATGATCTGAGCTGTCTATGCCAATTAACACGAGGAAAAAATTCCTGGAATAACCAGGGCTAGAAGGTACCACTACGATCACTGAATCAATGTGGCCTTATGTTGGATTGTGCTAGTCTATGAGCAGAAAAGGTGGGCTATGGTACTATGCTACGTAGCTTTTCAAAACATTACCTTCTGCAATCCAGAAGAGGGGGAAAAAAAAACCAAGAAAGATTATTTAGAAAAGTCCCTCTTCACAGACAATACTAATCACTGACATTTCTGTACCTCCCTTGAACCGTACCTTTTTGCCAGCACCAACGTTGGCCTTTGCAGTTCCCCTGACCTTCTTCATTCTGTTCTTGCGTTCCTTTCGCTGTTTTCGGGACGTCTTTTTCTTCTCATAAAGGCCATGCTACCAGAGAGAAGAGTATATGTCATCTGTAGAACTCAGTCTTAATGGGGAAGCTGAGGTGAGAAAACTTTTAAAAAAGCTTTACAAGCTGGGTGTTGGTGACCCACGCCTTTAATCCCAGCACTGGGGAGGCAGAGGCAGGCAGATTTCTGAGTTCAAGGCCAGCCTGGCCTACAGAACGAGTTCCAGGACAGCCTCCAAAACAATACAGAGAAACCCTGCCTCGAAAAACTAAAAAGTTTTACAAATCAACACTTACTTTGGTTTTTCAACATAGGGTTTCTGTTTAGCCCTGGCTGTTCTGAACTATGAGGACAATGCTGGTCTTGAACTCAAGAGATCTACCTGCCTTTGCCTCAGTGCTGGGATTAAAGGCGTGTGTCACAGCTGCCATCACCACCTAGCCCAACACACCTTTTTAAGCTGCCATGACACTGTTCAACAGACTTCCCTTCAATTCCTACTTCTCAGGCAAAGGGACTGGTGCCACTTTTACAGAGTTCTACCTTCCCACTGTGGAGACTCTGATCCACTAATCTGCTCTTGATTATTCCTGGCAGAAATCTTCACAACTCTCAGCTACGGATTCCCAGAGCACCACTTTAAAAAGTCTAGCTAGCTAGCCAGGTGCAAGGGCACACACCTCTAATCCTAGCACTTGGGAGGCAGAGGCAGGCTGACCTGTGACTTGAAGCCAACCAGGCAAACAACCCGTCTAAAAAAAAATCTAGTAAATCTTCCCACAAAACTGTTATACTAGTTATAGCACACTCCTTCATTGTAGCAAGAAGTAAATGTAGTCAAGAAGAAAAAAAAGGGACAACTCCCTGTGTATGGTGGCTTCACTTAGTCTTATCACTTAAGAAGCTGGGGTAAGCTGGGCGTTGGTGGCGCACGCCTTTAATCCCAGCACTCGGGAGGCAGAGGCAGGCGGATCTCTGTGAGTTCGAGGCCAGCCTGGTCTACAGAGCGAGTTCCAGGACAGCCTCCAAAACAATACAGAGAAACCCTGTCTCGAAAAACCAAAAAACAAACAAACAAAAAAAGAAGCTGGGGTAAAGTAATTGTTGCAAGTTTGTGTCTAGACTATCAGTCAGGTCTGCATCTATAATCCCAGCTCTTGGAAGATCAGGAGTCCTTGGTTCTCGTCAACTAAGTATCAAGTTTGCTACCAGTTTTGTACCACATGGAATTCAGTCCTAAAGTTTTTAAAGCTACTGTCAGTACACTGTAATAAACTACTTTTTACTAGCCAAATGTGGTAGTACACACCTACAACCCCACTACTTAGGCTGGAGGAACACGCTGCTGATGAGTTCCAGTTCAGGACAGGTTAAATTACATTGAGATGGGCTAAGGAGTAGGAGTTAAGTTTGGAAATGTATCTTATACCATACTGAGAGGTCTTTTAAAAGTCAAAAGGTGCCGGACGGTGGTGGCGCGCGCCTTTAATCCCAGCACTCGGGAGGCAGAGGCAGGCGGATCTCTGGGAGTTCGAGACCAGCCTGGACTACCGATGGAGTTCCAGGACAGCCTCCAAAGCCAGAGAAACCCTGTCTAGAAAAACCAAAAAAAAAAAAAAAAGTCAAAAGGTTTAAGTTTAGACTTAATCCCATAGATGGTCAGGAACCTTTGCATTATGCAAAAAACCTCTTATCCTTTTTAGAATTCCTAGTACATTTGTTGTTTCCCAAACAAACTGTTCTGTATTGCTCAAAACTGACATTGGAAAAACAAATCTTCTAACTTGCCATTCTGCCTCAGCCCAGGCTGGAATTACAAGCATGCATCCAGAAAAGAACCAAACCTTCTATAGCTGTTGCACAAACAAGATACCTACTCTTGCAAGTCTGTGTTTGGGCTCATTCTTCTTTGCATAATCTAGAGAATCATAGATCATGCCGAAGCCAGTCGTTTTGCCACCACCAAAGTGGGTTCTGAATCCGAACACAAAGATGACGTCTGGCGTGGTTTTGTACATTTTGGCCAGCTTTTCCCGAATTTCTGTCTTTGGTACTGTTGCCTTCCCAGGGTGAAGGACATCAATGACCTAAAAAAAAAAACATACAGTTTAGTATTCATTACAATTAGCATCTTCAAAATTAAGACACAGAGCACCGAACTTTGACACCCTTACCATCTGTTTCCTCTGAAGCAGACGGTTTGTCATGAACTTCCTGGTCCGGATCGTTACTGTGTCATTCTGCAGATTAACACACAAGTTAGTAAAACAGTTAATGTTAACCTTTTCTTGCCTTTGCTGTGCTAATTCAGTAGTTACTAGCAATGGGGCCAAGAGACAAGAGATGGTGGCAAAGAGGGGGAGTGGGATGTCTCAGTCCAAGAAGCATGTGGCAACCTCAGCCACCACGTGAACCATTTATTTTCTTTCATTGGTTTTCTCAGCATTATTGATTTATCTATAAGAGTCTCTGGGCGAGCCCGGCGTTGGTGGCGCACGCCTTTAATCCCAGCACTCGGGAGGCAGAGGCAGGCGGATCTCTGTGAGTTCGAGACCAACCTGGTCTACAAGAGCTAGTTCCAGGACAGCCTCCAAAGCCACAGAGAAACCCTGTCTGGAAAAACCAAAAAAAAAAAAAAAAAGTGTCTCTGGGCGGCTTCCCTCCCCCCCATTAGATACCACCAACACCCTAGAGCATCCCTAGTTAGTGCAACTAATGCTTCCAGTGCTTAGAAACAAAGTCTCTGTGGTCACCAGCAACTACAGTTCCAAGGGATCTGACACCCTCAGTGCCAACTTTTTCAGCAAAGTGCGAAGTAGCAGGCATTCAGCGAGCTTAACCACACTAGAGGTTTATCCGAGATCATCTCAAATCAGCAAAACCCTGGAAATGGTCGCTAGCTTTTCTACCTCGACTTAAAGACTCTTGTCGCCTCGATGGTGCCTAATCCATGAGTTAAAAAGAGAGAAAACCAGCCTACAAGTGGCGAGCACAGTACAGGAGTGCTCTGCCTCTGAGGGCGGGAAGGAGAACGGGCATGGCCACCTTTAAACAGGTTCCCCCAACCCCAGCACTTGAATGTTCCCAGGACACCCCAATTCTATTCGGTCGCTACGCTTGCTAGCTTACTCAGAGTCCACTGGCCCAGGACCCGGAGGCGCCTTCTTCACCTCGGCCCGCCAGCGCCTGCCTCACCCCTGCCCCGCAAGCCCAGCCGGAGCTTCTACGGCCCCGAGGCCCTGCAGCCCGAAGCCCGGCGTGTTCTGGAGGGCGGCCGAGCCCCGGCCCCTGGCCTCCGTGATACATGGCCCAAGCAGAGCAGGTAGGCTCTGGACGGCTGCGGCTCCAGTAACGGGCCCAAGGTAGCAGGGATGGCACAGATACGCGACGGATAGAGCCGACAGCCGGAGGAGACTCACCATGATGGCTACGGTGCCCCAGCTGCAAAGGAGGAAAAGAGGACCGCTCTCGGACGGCCAATCATATCAACGCGCACGGAAGGACCCGGGTCCCGGCGCGGGGGCGTGGCCAAAGCCGTGGGGCAGACCACGTTAGTGCCTGACTGAAAGTGCCTAAAGCCACGCCTCTCTGCCCTTTAGACACTCCCCTAGGTCTAGGCAACCTGATTTATGGTTATCCAACCTCGTGTTCCTTCCGGTTTCGTTTCTCTTCACTCGTATTTTGTTCTTTTTTTTTTTTTTTTTTTTTTTTTTTGAGACAGGACTGCACTTTGTAGCTCTGGCCGTCCCGAAACTCACGCTGTAAACCAGGCTGACCTCGAACTCAAGAGATCTGTGTGCCTCTGAGTGTTGTGACTTAAGGCGTTGTGTCACCACGCCCAGTACAATTCACTTTTTTTTTTTTTTGAGGCAGGGTTTCTCCGAGGCTTTTGGAGGCTGTCCTGGAACTAGTTTTTGTAGACCAGGCTGGCCTCGAACTCACAGTTCACTTTTAATGCAGTTTGTTTAATTTTTTTCCCCAGTGGCAGTTTGTTTAAATTGCTTCCATGTAACCGGGCGTGAGAAGCAGAGGCAGGCAGATCTCTTGAGTTCAAGCTCAACATAGTTTCAAGTCAGTCAGGGTCACATAGTGAGACCCTGACTCAAAAATAAAATTAAAATTGCCTCCAAATGAGTTCATCTTGAAGGCATTTAGAGACGGCCTTTCGGTCAACATCCCCATTTTACACCGAGGACAACATCAGAAACCTTAATTTAATCCTTCATGTATGCAACACTGCACGTTGCCACTTATTTTTTTTTTCGTTAACAGTTTTCATGTGTGATATTTTGGATTATTTGAAACAAGACCTTGCAATTAAGCCCATCAAGGCCTGGAAAAATTCGTTGTATTGCCAAGAATGATCCTGAATCCCTGATCTTCCTGCTTTCATCTCCCAAGTGTTGCACCGCACCTACCAACATATTGGATTGGGAGGGGAGTTCTAGTTAAGATTTGGTTTTGAGCCGGGCGTTGGTGGTGCATGCCTTTAATCCCAGCACTCGGGAGGCAGAGGCAGGCAGATCTCTGGGAGTTCGAGGCCAGCCTGGTCTACAGAGTGAGTTCCAGGATAGCTTCCAAAACAATACAAAGAAACCCTGTCTCGAAAAAAAAAAAAAAAAAGAAAGAAAGAAAGAAAAGAAAGATTTGGTTTTGAGACTTTCTGCGCATCTCTAAAATTTGCTGAACCAGACATGGCTAAGCAAAAGGATCAAAAGTTTGAAACCGGGCTGGAGAGATGGCTCAGTGGTTAAGAGCACTGACTTTTTCCAGAGGTCCTGAGTTCAATTCCCAGAAATCACATGGTGGCTCACAACCACCTTGAATGAGATCTGGTGCTCTCTGCTGGCATGCAGTCAGAAGACTGTATACACAATAAATAAATAAAATATTAAAAAAAAAGATGTGGGCATTCTTCTGAAACCCCTTTAAAAAAAAGTTTGAAACCTGCCCTGTGCTACATATAGATTTGCAGACAAGCTTGGCTGTATCCTGGCTCCAACTAAAAATTTTAAAAGAACAGAGGATGTAGTTCTGCTTAGTGGTAGAATGTTGTCTAGTATGCAAAGGCTCTGATTCAAACCCAATATTAGGAAGGGAAAAATGAAGTCATCTATTTGAGCCAGGTCTGGTGGCACACACCTATGATCTCATCTGTCTGCAAAGTTGAACAAGATTAGTCAAGAACTTGAGGCTACCCTGAGCTACACACCAACTAGGAACTAGGGTTACACAGAAAGAAATTGTCTCAACAACATTTTGTCTGTTTTCCTCCAGATCTTTGTGCTTACACAAAATTAGCTTTTGTTTTGTTTTTTGTTTTTGTTTTGTTTGTTTGTTTGTTTTTTTGAGACAGGGTTTCTCTGTGGCTTTGGAGGCTGTCCTGGAACTAGCTCTTGTAGACCAGGTTGGTCTCGAACTCACAGAGATCCGCCTGCCTCTGCCTCCCGAGTGCTGGGATTAAAGGCGTTTGCCACGAATGCCAGGCACAAAATTAGCTTTTAATGTTTCCTGGTCCAGAAGTTATGCTTTGCATAAAGTGGAGCAGAGTATAAAAATGAATGCAATTAGCCTGGTCTACAGAGCGAGTTCCAGGACAGCCTCCAAAGCCACAGAGAAACCCTGTCTCAAAAAACCAAAAAAAAAAAAAATGAATGCAATTGTGCATTATTCCAAGGGGAATATCAGAGTGCCCCAGGGGCTAATGTGCACAAGGAAATCAAGCTTACCTCTAGGTATCTGCCTGCACATACATGCACATACACAAACATGTTAGGTCCCCAAAGCAGGCCCCCAAATGGCAGTGTAGATGGCAATATTTTAGGATGATTGCCCGGATCCCACCTGAGCTTGGTTTTGCTAGGAACAGAAACCTAAAGCATTTGTCACAAGCCCTTAACAACTGGCTGAAGACCCTGACAGAGTCTGTCACAGTCTCCTCTGCCTTACAGAGTTCCCATGCTAACCACTGGCTTTTCTGAACTGTCCCACCCCAGTCATATCACCTTATAAAACCTAACAAGCTTTTGCAGTTGGGTGCAGACTTCTACTATCCTTAGAGGCAGCCAAGGCATTCACTTTTCCTGTGTGTGTGTGTGTGTGTGTGTGTGTGTGTGTGTGTGTGTGTGTGTGTGTAAACCAGGCAGGTTTTTTTTTGTTTTTTTTTTTTGTTTTGTTTTGTTTTTTTCGAGACAGGGTTTCTCTGTGGCTTTGGTGGCTGTCCTGGAACTCGCTTGGTAGTCCAGGCTGGTCTCGAACTCCCAGAGATCCGCCTGCCTCTGCCTCCCGAGTGCTGGGATTAAAGGCGTGTGCCACCAACGCCCGGCTCAGGCAGTTTTTAATATACTATTCTTTCTCTCCATGGAGAGTGCTGGGATTCCATGGGTTCTTGCTGCACCTACTTACAAACATATTAAAATGAATCATATATATGACATATATACTTACTCCAGACATGTTATCTAAGCATCAAGAATACAGAGGCAGAAGGATGGCAAGTTCAAGGAGAGCCTTTCTCAGGAAACAAAATACACGTACACATAAATGTCCTAGCTTGCACTTGTATAAATTACATTTTCCCCTCTAATAACTTTACAGACTGGAGGCTTGTGTGCACAGCTTTGTCTTCAGCTACTTATTTCTTCTTTTGATTGACCATATCCTTTGGCAGGTGGATTTGGGCTTCCAATGTCTCATAAACAATTAGATGATCTTTACTCACAAAATATTATATTGATTTTTTTTCATGTAGGGTTTGTTGTTGTTGTTTGGCTTTGAGATAAAAAATGTGTGGTACTTCTCTGCCATTTTGAGAAACACACCAGAAAGGCGATTTTTTTTCTTCTTCTGAGACAAGGTTTCTTTGTGTAACAGCCCTAGCTGTCCTGGAACTAGCTTTATAGGCCAGACTGGACTGGAACTCAAAGGGATCAGCCTGCCTCTGCCTCCATAGTGCTGGGATTAAAGGCATTTGCCACCTTCGCCCGCAGAAAGGGGATTTTTTTTTTCTTTTTTAATCCGCGCGGCCTAGTTGCATTTTTATACAGGAGCCGCTAGGTGGCGGTGTTGCGGGAGGGCGCAAAGCAACGTGCACGAAGCCTCTCTTGGACTCCCGCGGCGGAAGAGGAAGCGGCACGTGTAGTGCTCTACGGTGGCCGAGGCGTTGCTGCAGGTCTCTCAACCCTGACTCCAGAAGCTCCCCGGCGAGGTGTGGCGACAGTGGTTTCTGTAGTCGGAGCCCCGAGAAGGGCGCCCGGGCAGCCGACACCATGGTGAAGGAGCAGTTTCGCGAGACGGACGTAGCTAAGAAAATGTAAGACGCAGCCGGCGGGGGAGGAGGCTGGGGTCCCGGGTCCCAGAGGGTTCCAGGTGAGGGACAGTTGTTCAGAGAGCGGAGAAAGAAGTTCCAGGGTGGGATTTCAGATCCTAGGGGGTTTCTGAACTACGGCGGAGAACGTGGGACAGACCGAGCAGTGTCGGAACGGGCGTCCTCCCGAAGCCCTGCGCTGACTCCCCTCTGCGAACTTTTCCCCCTGGCAAGAGGACACAGTATATGCTGACCCAGGGTTGCCGGCTGGAAAGTGACTTCACCGGCAGCAGCTAGGTGGCAAGCTTGGAATCCAAGCTGCTAATTTGGGCCCTCTGCTTCAAAACTTATTATTATTGTTATTATTATTTTGGTTTTTCAGGACAGCCTCCAAAACAATACAGAGAAACCCTGTCTGGAGGCTCGCTCTGTAGACCAGGCTGGCCTCAAACTCATAGAGATCCGCCTGCCTCTGCTTCCCAAGTGCAGTGCTGGGATTAAAGGTGTGAGCCACTAACACCCGGCTCAAAACTTAATTATTAAGCCGTAAACTCTCCTTATGAGTTTTCGGGGTTTTGTTTTAAAGGCAGATCCTCCCCTCCCCTCCAGGGAACATGAGAGTACGGAGGCCAGTGTTGTGCACTAAAGATGCCGCATGAATGCAGTGGTTTGCCACTTGGTCTAGCGGAGAGTAGACAAATCAGCCATGGTTGTGGCAAATTCAACGACAAGCAGAGGGGAGGACAGGAGCACATGTAATGGATAAGTCCTGGCTCACCACAGAACAGGCCTTTTTTCAAAACACATTGGAGGGACAGGGTAGACGGATAGAGTTGAAGTGGGGGGGGGGAATCTTACACTGTGTGAGTCTTGCAAGGAGTGTCAGACTTTTGAAGTGTTTGACCAGGACAGAGTTTGAGTAAGATTCCTCATTCTGGAGGGCTGTGGCAGGGATCCAGACAGGGAATGATGATGGCCTGGACTGGGGGTGGGAGGCTGAGGATGGATCTAGGGGCATGGGAGAGAAGTGAGTTCAAAGAGGCTTAGGGTATAAAATGGCATAGAGAAGTAGAGGTAGAGGTAAGAGAGGAGTGAGATTGACATAGTTATGTGTGTGGTAGCCATCAACTAGAACACACGTCTTTCCTGGGTAAACGCCTATCCACCCCTCCCAGTACTCCACACCCACCCCATACACATAAAA